GAAACAGCGTATCGATGCTGGGCCATGTTTTGTTTTGGGCCGTACCAGACAGTCCTGTCCAATCTTGCTAAGTTGGACCTAGATCCCGCCCGTAGTGCCCAGAACCGTAGCCGTACTCGCTGGGTACAGGAAGGTGAATCCCCCTCTTCCTATTTCTTCTGTCTAGTTAAAAAGCAGAGTGCTGATCGCCTTGTTTCGGCTTTGCGTTTGCCCGATGGAACAATTTTTAATTCTGCTCAGGACCTTGTAAATTGCTTTGCAGGTTTTTACTCCTCGCTTTGTTCCGCTGAGGAGATTGACCGATCTGCTCAGCGTGAACTGTTGTCTAACGTCCCTGCGCGGTTGTCTGTTGAGCAATCTGAGTCTTGTGAGGGTGAATTGTCGGTGGAAGAATGAATGTCTCTCGTCTCTCCAAGGTATGGCTCACCGGAAAGCCCCTAGCAATGACGGACTGCCTATGGAATTTCATGTAAAGTTTTAAGACGTTTTGGGTTCAAACTTAGTGAGGGTCCTTAACTTTTGTCGCGTGAATAACAAATTATCCATGTCTTAGCGTAGAGCGGTGATCTCGTTGTCGTTCAAGAACGGGGATAGGTTGGATCCTAAAAACTGGTGGCCTATATCTTTGCTAAATGTAGACTATAAGATCGCGTCCCGCGCAATCGCTAGTCGTCTGTTTAAGGTTTTGCACGCAGTTGTGGACCAAACATGTGGCGTCCCTGGTCGGTTCATTGGGGAGAACGTCGCTTATCTGCGTGATGTCGTTGACTATGCTTCCCAGGCGGGAGTCCCATGTGCCATCTTCTCTCTGTCTCAGGAAAGAGCTTTTGACCGCGTGGACTGGGTTTTCATGAGGGACACTTTGTCCACGATGGGTTGTGATCCCTCTTTCATCAGCTGCATCGATCTTTTTTATAGGGGCTCGTAGAGTGCCATCAATGTTGATAGTCACATTTCTTCCTTTTTTCTTCGTCACGTGGGATTCGTCAAGGCTGTACTTTGTCACCCCTTCTCTACGTTGTGGTGGCTTAAGTCTTAGCCTGTAACATTCGTTGACATCCGGACATTTCCGGGCTTACCCTCCCTGGCTCTTCAGTGTCTTTGCCTCCTCTTTCGCAGTATGCTGATGATACCTCGGTGGTGGTTAGGTGTAATGCTGCCATTACTGCGACCTTCGAGGTATATGATCTTTATGAGCGGGGTTCTGGGGCGAAATTGAATCTGTCGAAGTATAAGGGCTATGGCTCGGTTCTTGCAACGGTCGGACAGATGCGCCTGTGGTCATTGAGTGGAGTTCAGTTAAGGTTAGAGTTCTTGGTGTTTTTCTGGCCCCATTTGCCTCTGAGGAGGATAATTGGCGCACACGTATAACTGCTGTCCAAAATGTGTTGTCGTCGTGGCGTCAGCGATCTCTGTCTTTTCGTGGGAAGGCCCTTGTGATCAATGCTTTGGCCCTTTGGAGAATCTGGTATGTAGCGTCGGTGGTTCACATGCCTTCTTGGGTTCTGCGTGAACTGAACCGCTCGGTGTTCCAGTTATTTTATAATGGTAGCTCGGACCGGATATTGTTACCCGTGAAGTCATTGCCCAGTCATTGTGTGGTGGCTTTTGTGCCTATAATGTAATGGGTGAGGCGTCTCTCACTATCTCCATCTACGTGGGTCTCCTTTTTCTCTTTCTGGGACAATCAAGGTTTTGGTACTTCTCCTGTCCAGATACTGTCCAATCCGCTTCGGTTTCCTGGTGCTGGTGGATTGCACGGTTTTTACTCAGCCCTCTTGACTCCTTAGAGTTCCGCTAGAAGTGCCTTCTTGTCTAATCGTGGCTCGCTTTGCGTGGGTAGTGGATTGACGGTAATGTCAGTGGCCTCGTTATCTACCAAGTTTGCCTATCTTATTCTTTTGTCGGATCGTTTGGCCACTCGCCCTTGTGTAGTGGAGTTTTTGAATTCTTTTGGTTCTCTGTAGTGGTCTGTCACATGGCGTCACTTGTTTTTCTTCGACATGGACCGTCAGGTCATCGACCTGTCTTGGAAGGTGGCACATGGAGTGTTGTACACGGCTGAGCGATTGTCATCCTTCGGCTATGTCATTCCCACGGCCTGCTTCTGTGGTCACCCTTTCGAGACCTTGGACCACTTGTTTTTCTCATGTCCTTTAGCTGAAAGCGTGCTTTCCTGGTTGTCCTCTCTGTTTTTTCTTTCTTCGCCGTCATTTGGGCCTATCCTTCTCCGTCATGTTCGTTTTGGCTTCTCTGAGGATGAGCTTCTGTGTGTTTTTCGTCTCTTTGTGTATGCTCTTAATGTCTGCAAATTCTCCATCTGGGTGGCCCGGAATGATTTCCGGTTTCCTGACGTGCAGCCAGGTGCCATTGCTGTCTTGGAGCGAATTAAATCTCGTCTTTGTTTCCATTTGCCTTTGTTTTTCCGCCGTTTCAAGTCTTCTCGCTGTAAGCGGTATTTTGCTAGAGAGTGGTGTACCAATGGTGTTGTTGGCTCGGTCCGTGATAGTCGTTTGGTTTTATCGATCTAGTTTTTAGTGTTTTGGCCGTTCTAGTTTGCATGTCGCATGTCGTGGTAGAACTACTCTGCGGTTCCCAGCGAACAGCTCCCACATGTGTTGTGTGGAGCTGGCGCTTGATAGACCGCTTTGCACACACCTCGGGTTATTTGAGAAGCCGGTTTTCCCCGTCCATTAACCCAACGGCTTTCCACGCTGGTGGGCCCCAATAAGGACAAAACAGCTGTCTGTGGCTGTCACCGCCCGCGTGATACGGCTAAGCGCATGCGTGAGGTACTGGTCCGGCCGTGGGTTGGTGCGTGTATGCCCCTTTAAGTTTGCACTATTTTCCATGTAATCGAATTAAGTTAGATCTATTTTTCTAAACAAATTTAACAGTGCGCGCTTATAGGTAAAATCTTTGCTCGTTGGCACATAGCGATAGCTATAACTAGTTAGTTATTGAAATTACTTTCTTTGACCCACATCTCAGTTCTGGCAAGAACTGAAAACTTACGATATCATATTGGCTATAGTAGGTCGCAATAATTGACTAAGAGAACATAAACTCAAACAATTTTGCATCTTGAACTTCATGACTACCAGATTAGTTATGTAAACATTGATTGACGTCATTAGTATGGAATTTTAGGGTCCAGTTCCAGACGTCTCTTCCCCAAAACGTCCCTAGCGGCGAGGAGAGAAGGTTGTCTTCTCAGGCTATTTTCCTGTCGATATTCTGTGTAATTGGCGATTTGTATTGTTAGCCGGAAACTTCTTCCAATGTTATGTGAAGAATATCTGCAGGACTAAACAACTCTTTATATCCTGGATTTGCCTTGTGAGGTAAATAAAAACGTGAATTTTCTATCGATCGCGAAAAGCATTTTTAAGTTTGTTTTTTAAATATGAATTTTTTTGAACGAATAATAAAACAGTGATTGAATTCGGCTTTCGTGGGCTCAGATCAAGTTTAGGCCCATTTATTAGTTATTTATTAGTAATTATGTTTACCTTCGCTTACTGTGTTCTTTTCGTTTCTCTTTTAATCTGAAAAATCGTACTGTTGACTTAAAACGTGAGATTTTCACAGTTTGGTTTTGTTGCTGTTTAAAAAAATTTTCAACTTCTGTGTACTTACCGCAAAAACTTGCTGGTAAGAGCAGCGTGAAGAGGGGAAGAAGGCGCATCTCTTGACATCCACTCTCCAATTGACGATCATATACAATCTTTCAATGGGATGGATATATTCTAGAATCACCACGTTGACGAAATGACTTAGTTACTTGACACACTCTTAGTGATACTTGATACACTAATAGTATTAAAGCCCTTCTTACGTATTGTTTATTAGTATTTACCAAATCAGTGAATAGCAATTTTCGCGCGTTTTTATTGGCTCCCGTAATAACTCGGAATATCCTTGGCTATTGACTGTTTTGCCACCGGAGCCAAGATGGCGTCTCGTTTAGAGACATTTTCGGAAGACGTAATTTGAGCGATAAATGAAGCAGTCGTACAAACAAATACCAAAAAAAGTTGAACTTTGGTTTGTCGGTGTTTACTGGTAGGTAGAAAAGTATTTTCATGCTGAATTTGCAGCAAAATCGTAAAAATGCATTTGACCAAATCCCTGAAAAGTTTGTAAATTGTAAACAAAGTTACGTTTTTAGTTTACAAAAAGTTATTTTTTTCATTTTTATTCAACTGATTTGGTAAATACTAAAACAACTATCCCCCTATGGGTCGGTGAACAGCGCTAAATATATAACAATTATTCAACGAAGTGAGGTGGCTAGTGATGGGAAATTAACCGAGGCCACGAAGCCACCGACACTGAGGTGAATAATTGTGAATAATTGTTTTAGTATATACTAAAACAGTGGTGAGATAATTGAGCACAAAAATGATGATTTTTAACTCATTTACTGTTGCCAACGATTACAATTTTGGCGCGCAATGACCGAACGGCCGCTGTCGTCGCTTTTTCTTGCTGACAAAGAAAACTTTTGAAAGCATTTGTTTAGCTCTTGCGGGGAAATTTCTTCAAAAGGAGTTGTGAATTCTTTTTGTATTTAAAATCATTCTATTATTAAATTTAGTTTTAAGCTTACTTATGAACAACTCAACTAAATAAAGTAACGCAAGACTTTAGCTTAATTTGCATTTGTAAACAAAAAAAATTTTCACCGGTTTTATCGATAAACTCAAGTCAAAAAGACAAAGCTTTACCTGTTAAAACTTCCAAACCGAACTTCGTTACCTTCTTCTTGTATTTCGGGAACAGCTTGCTTGATTAGTTGTGAAATTTCTTTGTTTGTTACGGTAGCAAATCGGGAAGGCATTTTGCTCGCAACTTACGCGAGTTTGGCGTCGCTCGCTCGAAGGAACTGGAGGTGAATCAGTGAATAGTGCAGGATATTCACTGATTGAGTAGCCAATCAGAGTGCGCGAAAAACACTATCCACTGTTTTAGTATATACTAAATATATATGTCCACTATTATTCACCTCCCCTTCGGGGGATAGTTGTATACCGTTTAAAATATGCACCTTTTGGGGTAATCAAAGAAATCGTCACTTTTGTTTGCCTGTCGTGATGTCTTCGTTTTGGATCATACTCTATCCTGTCTACTGTCAGATTTTTGACCGTTTCAGGCCTTACACGATCTAAAATAAAACATAATAGATGCATATAGTTGGTAAAAAAAAAGGTGACAACGCAACGATCGTAAAGGAGGTAATAAAAAATTGCCATTATGACGGTGAATTTGAAAACTCATTATTATTATCATTATTATTATTATTGTTATTATTATTATTAAAACTTTCCGCCTACTATTTTACATATAAAATAAAGGAAACATAATATTAATATAGGTTTTTGATTGCTGCGGGTGTAGCTAGACTGGAGCAGACATAGTTCACTCAGATGCTAGTTTAAATCTCGCCAGAAGTTAGTAGGAAAGTTTGCCTCGCTTTCGTACACTCACTTCAACTTCACAGCTGACCATTGCAACTGTAGCCCAACCATTTGCTATACTCGATTTGCCAGCACGCGATTCTCTCTAGATTTGTGAAGTATTTGGAAGGACTTGTATTAATAGTTTTTCTTATTTATTTGCCACTTTGTCGCTAACAGGGATTGTGGGATGTTTGCAAAGCCTCGGGGCGCTAATAGATGCCTATGATTAAAAAAAACCAATGCATTAAGAGCGAGAAACTATATTTTAGTTGTTTGACTTTGCAAATTGCAATTTAACATCAGTACAAAAAAACTTGATAGCACACGAAAGATGCAGATAAATCAAGAAGTTTTTTTAAGTATTGAGTTTAATTACCAATTAGTTTAAAAAGGGACTTACTAGTTTGCACCGTCTGTTGCCCAGCGCTTATAGAGGAAGTTTCCGTAAGGACAGACACTTTGAACTTGAATAATACTGGCCAGAGGTTTAAATAACGATTTCTCGAGAACGTCACCGATTGGATGTAAGTACAAAGTTGCGGGAAGGAAATTGTTGCTTCTGGCTTAACAAACACCTATGAAATACGACAAGTAAAGAGTGAAAAAAAAAACAGCGTAAATATATATCTTCTAGATCAAAGTAAAGAAAAATTAAAAGTTTTATTCATTTTACCTTTTTCATATTTACAGGAATATTCCTTAATCCTCGTTTAATCAACTCTATTTCTATCATATAAACAGGGCTGCCATTCGTGTTCTTTACAGCCTCCCACTGCAGGGAGATAGAGGTGTAACTTCTGTTTGTAACAGATAGATTCACTGGGGTTGGCAGCAAGGAACCATCTCCAGGTATTGCAGAAGACAAAGATTTTACTTTGGTCAAAAAATTGCAGCTATCCAGACAGCTACTCGAGTTTTTCTGTAATAGAAAAAAAACTCGACGTGAGCACAATGATTTTCCAATTCGTAAAGTTAAAGAGAGAGAGAGGCGAGCATTGATGAACACAACTGCAAATAATTCCAGATGAGTCCACACTTACGCAGGTTCGCTTGCAGGCTGCTTCATTAGGATAAGACGATTCGCATGGAGCTAGACACTATAACAGAAGAGTTAAAACAAATGTCAAGGCCTAGGATGGAAAAATTAACATTTAAATTCTTTGCAAATCATTTGCGAAGCACTCTGTAAGGATTTATGCCTTTTATACATGTACGTTTTTGTACTTTTCCCTAACTCATGAGACTGAGGTGTGTTAATATTTTAAAGAGTCTTTAAACTTTACAATTACTGAATGAAAATAATGGTACTCACTTCCTTACAGTTAGATGTTTGACAGGGGATTCCAGTTTCATTTTTCGCTGAATTCTGTAAACATAAAATCTCGACGCTTATCAAACATACCATGGACTCAAAAGTAGGTTGCCAGTCACTAAACGCAACCAAATTGTAGTCACTGGTATCGCATACATCTGGGAGTGTAATTTCTGTCCGGTCATGCGAAAATGTACGGAAGCACGCATGCACAATATGGAAAGATATGTGCCTACATTATATTCATAATCGTACGCATGTGGGAGTAAAATTTCTGTCCACTCATGCACATTGAAACATCTTGCCAAAAAAGTACCCAAAACGCTTTTCTACCAAGTCACGAACTTGCTAGCCTCCCACGCAGGCGTTTTTAGGGGAGCTCGTGTTTCATCCCTCCCCACAAACGCCTGCTCAACCGAAGGCAACATTCCTTTCACAAGCTTAGCCAATCACCTAGTACTTTCCAAATTCTGGAAAGCTGACCTTGACCGCAGCGGTAGTTGAGCGGTAGTTGACAATTTGATGAATGATAAGTTGTAACTGAATCTGTTGCGAGTCCCAGGCGTTGGGTGTCCTGTGGTTCGTTGGGTGTTTTGCCTTAAATTAGGCGTTTCACACATCTCCCGAAGAAACTGGTATGGTATTTCACCATATCTTTCCCGGCAAAACGGGGTCTAAACAGGGTGAAATTTAGCCGATCCCCCCTTTGAACGTTACTTCACCAGTAATCGGCTCCTGGCTTCACTTAGGTGATCCCTCCTAACAACGTTTGATGATAATTACTCGATCTGCCTGAAACACTGAGAAAGCTTTCTGACCTCTAATAAATGTTAGATTCAGAGCGGCAAAACCAAGATTTAGTCAAATTTTAGAATACTCCATGCACTGCATAACCTTGGCGAAGGAAAGAAAAGAAGGAAAACGGTAAATCTAGGGCCACGATTAAGTCTCTTTAGTCGTGTTTAGCCTGTCAACACTCAAAACTGTTGATTGGTCACTTACCACGCAAACAAAGCAATGGGAAAGGAATGTTGTTTTCGGTTGAGCAGGCGTTTGTGGGGAAAGATGAAAAACGAGCTCCTCTAAAAACGCCTGCGTGGGAGGCTACGAACTTGCAAGAGTAGTATTGGATAGTATGCATGTGCCTTTCAACGTCTTGCCAAAACACGTACCAAAGACCTTTTTTCTACAAAGTCGATAGCGTGTGGGGTTAAGCATGTATTGTCAACCTTCCCCTGCATTTGAGAGATAAAGAATTGTCACATCAGCACCCAGAGTCTATACAAGCCACCCACACTCGACTAACTACAAAATTCACTCCACACTCAACGAACGACAATTTACTGATGACGAACTACTCACAACGCTGTTTCCTTGGTGTTGCTCTGAGCTGCTCTTTCATAACTCAGAGTTGCTCTGATTTAGCTGCAAAGGGGCTCGCAAACTACACCGAGTGGCTCCAAGTATACTGTATTCATTTGAATAAGCACCCAAACTCTAGTAAGCACCCCCCAAGAATGGTGAAACTTAATGGGCGCCCAGCCTCGAATAAGCGCTTACGTCGAAAAAGCTTTCAGTCTCAAAGTCCAAAATTAAATAAGCGCCCCGTGCGGTTAATCAAAAAAAAAAAACAAAAAAACAAAAAAAAAACCGTAAGCAGTTAATTCGTCGATGTATCGCCCGGACAACTCTATTGACTCACGGCAATGTTGCTTATTGGTTGGCTAAAATGTCCTGCAACATTGAACAGGTGAGAGATCGTACGGTGTAGCCGCTTGTAGAAAAACCTTACTACAATAAAAGTTGCTCACCTTTGTCAAGCAGTTTGCATAGCACCTGGCTTTGATCACAGTGGCAATGTTTGGACTTCCACTGACTGAGTAACATCCAGTAAAAATCCAGATAAATAAAAAGACTTTGGGCAAAAAATTTATGTCGACCAAGGGAGAATGTATGAGAAGCCACATGCTTGCACCACCTCGTCCAGTTTTCCTTTGTAACAAAGAGGATAAAAATGATAATTAACATAAACATGTTTCCAAACTGACATTGCAGAAGGTAATGGATTAGTTCTTACCAGACACACTAGAGGTTCGCAGAAGCCTCTCGGTGCCTAAGGAGGCTGGTGAGAGGTAAGCATCTGGAAAGAAAAAGGTGTTTTTTTTTTTCATTTCTTCATTTAACCGCGGAGCAGGCAGAAAAAAAAACAACGTATGTTAGAACTGACTGATCATGACGTGTTATGCTGCTCTTCTGCCGGATGGGACATAACAACAACAACAACAAGAAGCTTTATTTACATTTCGCTTTAGAATAATACTGAATAGTTACAGAAGGTAGTTTTAGTTTAACGGACAGTTACATGCAGTGTAATAAGAGAAAAACATTACATTGCAGGTAAGGAAATGGCTAACATCTAAATAAACCATTAGGTTTCCGAGTTAGATAATAGCCTTGCATTGTTACAATTTGATATGTAGACATCAAGTGCAAAAGACGCCAATACTGACACACACACACACACCCAAAAATGAACTGCAGTCAAAGAGTACGATAGCTAAATAAGAAGTTGTATACGACGATTAACTCTGACAGTGGGTTTGCTTTACTAATAAATATTGTTTTACTTTCTTACGAAAATTGAAATTGAAATTTTTATATTTTAACGATTTGTAATGAAAGACTAATCTGTTAGGTTTATGGATTAACTTAAATTGTTTATACTGTTAGTAATTTTGCTTCTTTTATACCTCAAGGTCACCAAGTTTGTAAAGGAAGAGCTTCCAGCAAACTGATGTTGATGCCGCATATACAAAACGGATCTTAGCGTCTTCTGACAAGGTTTATAATAAAAAAAAAACTGTTGAAAGGGCGAAATTGATTTCCCCAAAATAGTTTCAATTCAATCTTAAATCTCTTAGAAAACGCACTTTACGGAAATTAGAGCTACTACGACGGCTTAAGAGGTACGGAGAGTCATACCCTTTCAACGCTTTGTGAATATAAAAATAAATGTGACATCACAGGATTACATGTGCAACATGTTTGTTACGACAAATTCGAGCAAGATACATTTTTTCTAGCTCAGTTTTGTGAAAACTGTAAGTGCCTTGAGCTAACATGACCATGTTTCATTCTCGTGTTTGGACACGATCGCGAGATATCGACGCAAACGCATACTTTTTTACTATATAGTGTGTATACACTGGATAATTGCTCAGTTAGCTTTTCAATGTCACAGTAACGTATTTTTAGTCGATAATACGTTAAATCATTACTAACTTACGTTCTGTCAAGCCTTAACGTCAGGGTATTCTGAGTAAAATCGCTTCAACTGATCGCAAAACTCAACCTTGATTTTGCTAGAATGAGTTTAAAATTCCTTCTTATACTGCTCCCTGTTTAGGGGACCTTGCCTTATTAGGCTATTTACGGAATCACGTCAAGTGTTGTATTGTCAAGTGTTGCAAAACTCAACCTTGATTTTGCTAAAATGAGTTTAAAGTTCCTACTTATATTGCTTCCTGTTTAGGGGATCTTGCCTTATTAGACAATTTAAGGAATTACGTCAAGTGTTGTATTTTCTTGAAACGAATCAGGTAACAAATTTAAAAATATAATAAGGGTACATAAAGCTCTTTGGTAACTGAAATCTATTCCTTATAATAGAACTAATGCACGATGCTTTTGAGGCCACTATAACTATAAATTTTACGTTCTCTTGTAAAATATTTCAGTTATCTGTTTTCTTTTACATATTACCATTCCTTCTCTTTTAAACCTTAGTGGGACTGATAGGAAATAAAGAAAAATAGATTGAGGTATATTATTTGAACTTTTGGACTAGTGATTTGTGGATTTTCCCCTCAATTACGCCATCTGTTACATAATAATTGTGTGGAATTGGGAAGGGCGCGATTAACACGAGCTGCACAATTTTGAAGTTTTTGTAACTCAAAATCGTAAAAAGTTTGTCCCCAACAACATTGCAATAATCTAAGCTAGCTACATTAAGCCTGGTTGAATATATTCAAATGCTATAATCCGTTTGAAGAAACTGAAAAGATCTCTTTTCGTTAAGTTCTGAACACATCTGAGTTATTTTTCAGAATCATTTACTGTTCAATCTTTTTATTCTATGCTGGACTCTTTCGAGTGATAGCCCCAAGGCGCTGTTTTAACACGAGGTCTTTGATATGAAAATGAGTCTTTATTCGCTTACAAATGAAAGTAAGACGGTTTTAAACTAAAGGGCAAGTATTTGGTCTCAGGTTGAAAATGAGGGCTTTTTGGAAACTCGGAAATGTTCTCTTAAGCCACCTTTATGATATTGAGACTTGAGTTGTACAAGTCAGCCGTAGACTGATTTTTTTTTTTACAGTACTCACTTCTTTTAGGAAAAAAATGGAATCAAATTCTCATTAGCTTATGCGTTTCGTTGGCATGCATTCTTTCTGTTTACCTAGTAATTCTGGAAATAGTTTTATGTCAGTATTTATTAACTATACCCAAGGAGCGCCGATATGAAATTATCTCGCTCTTTTGCAAGTAGTATAATTAATGACTTTAGTATGTGACATAAATGATTTCATTTAGACTAAAAGGGAAAAAAAAAGAGTCATGGATGAGAGGACAACAATCATACCCTCTTATAATAATTATATATGAAAAATGTGAACAGTAAGCTCGGACGTCCGCATGCAAAGACGCCATGCACTGACAGCCGATCTCAGTCCATTTATTTCAGGAGATTTAAGCCAAATTAGGTATTGTACTGATTTCTTCGTGGTTAACATATAGAAGCCGGACAACGTGTATCAAATGATGCAGTAATTAACAATTAATTCAAGGGTGATTCCTTCACGTTATGTAAACAGATGTAGTACGCGCTTCATACTTTCGTTGAGTGGTGCTGGATAGCAATTCGAGGGTTAGATGTATAATAACAAAAAACAAAGGAAAGCCGATATAAAATGCTACGTTTTAATTTGGCCCTTATGTTTGCAGATGTAGTATATTGTAATGACATTTTCTTGAAGGTGAATTCCCAGCATGTAATACAGGATAAAACCAACTTTGGGACGGGGATGGTATTTTTGAAGAAGCCAAAAATGTGTATTAGATGACGCAGTTACGATTTGCCAACCGAACACTTTCATTGGAATGGTGTTAGCCGTGAACTATAACTGTTGACTATATTAGCGCAGAGACGAATTAACAGAATCAGAGCCTTCACCCTTCCCTCTCAAATCATTATTCTTTGCCTGTCAGGACGAGCAGAAAAATCGTGTGCGACTACGACTTTAAAATTTCGAGCTAACTGTAAAGGATTAAATTAACTGCAAAAACCGTGGACGAAGATCCTGCTAGTTGTAAACGTTGGATCTCTAGAGAAGAGATCAAATCAGCCAAAATATAAAGAAACAAGAACGAGAAGTCCGACGACTACAGCAAAGCTGATTTAAAACAACGTGTATTGTTTTTTATAACAATATTTCGGCTGGCCATACCAGTCTTCTTCAGGTTTACAGATGTTACTGAACTTATGTAGCAATCACAATATTATATAGATGGAGAATGTCGCAATAAAAGGGAGAGGCAGAAATGACGTACAACATAAAAACTGGATAGGAAAAATACTAAGGATATGGATTACAATAATTCGTCACGGCGGTTTAGGCCATGAGGGTCAAGAGTCATGGCCTTATCTATCAAATGGGACTCCCTGGCCTTACGAACTGAGTCCTATCCAGTTTTTTATTATTTCCTGTTGCTATAAGTAGCTCATAAATAGGAAACTACAGTATGAACATCAGCAGAAAGGAGTGTATGAAATGGAATTTTGTGGTCTGAAAACTCTTACGCCGTACTCAATATCGTCAGACTAGATCAGTAAACTGTCCCTGAATATTGCACGACTTAGTTATGACGGTCCCTTCCAGAATCATCTCTAAGAAAGTAACTTGTGTAAAATTGGTTGAGCAATTGTGTTGCTGGTGAATGGTATGTGTATTTAACATATGTCATTTTCGAAAGGAGTTTTGCACAAGATTGTCCTATTATGCATAATGTTTTGCTGAAGACAGCCAAGAGGAGTTAAGCTGTAGACGCAAAGAAGAAGTGCATGGCTTTATATAGAAGAAACATGCTCTATAACAATTTTTCGTTAAGCTCCGTAAATGGTTCATGATAAGAAGAATTTTTTTGTCTTTATTTATTGATAGTAACACTATAAACCAAGGTCAGTCAGAACAGCGATTGACCTGGAGAGCGGACGTTCGAGGAGTCAATTCCAGGATTGGACCAATACTTATGGTCTTAAAATAACTGAGGAAGAACGTACTATTTTTACCGATCAACAATCGACGAGTAGGCAATCACAGCTTGGATGACCACCTACAATATAGAAATATATTTTTCGACTGATTTTAAAGGTGTTTTAACCTGTTTAAAACGCTATTAAAATGTTATGCTTCAAAATATATCTTAATAACTGGTTTAATCGGTTTCGAATTTTAGTAAAATAGTCGTATTTTCAAATACAAGAAAAATACTTTGAAAATAGTATTAAAATACCACAGAAGAAGAAAAGCAAGCATATAATGTGAAAATACATCAAAAATAAAATGCAAAAATTCAAAACAGTATAAAATTGTCAGAAAATAGCCCTGTCTTTCTTTCTTGTTCTTTTCGGGCAATCAAATTGTTATCGCAGTTGTAAAAACTGTTGTGTATAAATGAAGTTGTTTTTGTTATTGCTTTAAAGAAATATTAGTCTAAGGACCCGTTGATTACGTTAGTTTCTGCCATTATCAGGTGTACTTTATCTTAAAACTATATTAAAATGTTTATTTCTATTTTTGTAAAGAAGCTTTGAATTGAAACGCTATTTTTAGGACCCTTACACCCTAAGACTGTAGTAAAGTGTTTATCCTATTTTTGTAAAGAGGTTTTGAATTGATTCTGTATTTCGGTCTTGGAAGATAACTTCTACCAATATCCTGCTAGGACCTAAAGTATTGTGCTCGCGCAGTGGAGCCCGAGCTATGAAAAAAAAAAACGCTGTGGCTATATAGCCGGTAATCGGTCAAGGTTTTTAAAACACTAAATGACGGGCAGTCCTATTTTCGATTTTGAGATAAATATTAGCGATAAAAAATCACGACGTTTC